CTAGCAATTTTTACAGGGCATATCAGAGGCCTTGGAAATGTATAGTACATAAATTTATTTTGCTTTTTTTCATACATTTTTAGCTTCACTATATGGAAAAAAGCAGCGTGAACATTCTGCTAAATATCTCTTTTTGTGTGTCATTAAGTCAAAAGAAATCATAAGAGTTCTAAAGCAACTAATGACCTCAAAAGTCACATTTTAAACTAATCAAGATAAATTCTCAAACAAGCACATTGCTCTAGTGCATCTAATAACCAAGTGAAATATATACATTTAAAAATACTATTTTAAAAAGATTGTCAGATGAAAAATCTCATTTGCATTTTTGCATATTTAAATTTCTTTATTTATTTTCTGTTTAACAATTTGCATATCGCATATTATAGTATTATAATATGTTATAAAATTGCATATTTCACATATCAGAAGCCAAATGTACAGTACATCATGTTTTTAGCTTTTTTTTAAATACATTATTCAGCCTCACTATGGAAAAAGAGCAGCAAGAACATTCTGCTAAATATCTCTTTTAGTGTTTCTCGAAGGGGAAAAAATCATAGAGTTATACATTATAGAAAATTGTGTATAATACACATTCAAAAATATGTTTGGTTTTGTTCAAACTAATAAGCTAAAATTCTTGAGTTTTTTTCAGAACAGCCTAATTGTTTTATTTTCAATCCACAAACTTTTTTAAATAACTAACAAGTTAACTTAATTCCTTCGTGTTATGGTAATACAAATTGATTCAGTGCAACCTAGCATTTTCACAGTGCATACCAGAGACCTTGGATTGAACAGTACATGTTATTTAGCCTTTTTCATAAATGTAGCCTCACTAAAAGAGCACCATGAACATTCTGCTAACTGTCTCTTTTAGTGTTTCATAAAGAAAAAAATCATAGAGTTATATATGTATATATTATATTATAAAATTGAGCATAATACACATTTAAAAAATTGTTTGATGTTTGTTTAAACTAATTAGCTGAAACAATTCTTGAGTTTTGTTAAGGACAGCCTAATTGTTTTATGATCAATGCACTTAAATTTGTAAATAAATAATAGGTTAGTTAACTTAATTCCTTCATGTTATCGTAACACAAATTGAACCTAGCAATTTTTACAGTGCATATCAGAGGCCTTGGAATGTACAGTACATTATGTACAAAATGAACATTCTGCTAAATACCTCTTTGTGTGCATCATAAAGACAAAAGAAATTAGTTCTGTAGCAACAAAATGGATAGTAAATTACGCCAACCACAGTAGCATTCTGAGATAGCTATTATTTCAAACTCAGCCTGGAAAAGGGCAGAAACACAATACAAACAAAACTGACTAAGACTTTGAAAAGGTCCCTCTCAAGCCATAGGACAACAGAGTTCATAAAGAGTAGCAATTCTGCCTTTTTTTAGACGGTGAGGATGGAGAAGCAGCCCAAAGGGTCGATGTCTCCACACTGCTGACTTTAAACCGTGCGGTCGGAAGTTCAGCCCGAGGAAATAAATAAATAAAAAAAGTCTGTGACCTCTGTGTCTGCTATTTTGTGTTTTGCCTTCGAAATTTTAATGAGTGGTCCAGTTGGTTGTCTGCTGCCAGCCGGCGGGGCCCCTTCAACAGCATGAGTCTACTTTCTCCGGCCCGACCGCATTACGCTCATCGCCAAAACAGATCGAAGCCCACCTCTCTTCCCCCCATCCCTATCAGAGCCTTATTTTCACTCAAACGCAAGGCTTTTTTTGTAAATGTGTGGTTAGCGAGAGGCCGGAGGAGATACACAGCGCTCCCTGTCTCAGTTAAGCTGACCTTCTGGTTTTAAAAGCCAAATTTGGATGCAGTGGGGCCCTGCCTTTCTTCTCTTATGGGAATCAGTATACGCGGCATTCATTTAAACACATTGCACCTTGATAAAAACCCCTCAACCTTTTATTTCAGAATCCACTGCTAGCTTCCCTTTAGCAGGCAAGCAGAACAGCATCTCTGGAAATAAAGCTGACAATCAAATCACCACATCAATCCAGAAAACACAGAGTCCTTGAAACTTCAATTCGGGCTCATTTTTACAAAACCATCATTATTTTGAACTCGCTTGACATTCAATCAAGGACAATAGTCTTGTAAGGTCAATATACAGCCGAGGATGTTTAAAAGGGCCTCACAATCACAGCCTGTGATGCTTACAAAATGTTTGTAAAATCTTTCTAAAGCCATTATTATTGTCTATTAACAACTTTAAAAAAAACTATTACTTTGAATTAGGTTTGAATTAAGTGGAAGGTTTTCAGCATATATGAATTTGTTTTAAAATTTATGATTTTTTTAATTTAATTTTTTAATTAATTAATCACATTTATTAAATATTAAATTCGTACACATTTAATATCACTCATTTTTTGCAACCATATTATTTGATGTAGAGGATGTTTAAAAATGAAAAATAAGCAAAGCTAAATTAAATATGGCACAGCCTGCATGGGAAAACAGCAGGGGCGTTTCTCAGCATCTCAGTGTGAAAACGACAGTATCTCACCAAAAACAATACTGCTACAGCATTTATTAGCCTTGATGGCAACATCCAAATACAATTTACATATATGCTTTTTTCCCCAAAACAATTTAAGTTATAATTGATCAATAATGTTTAAAGAGCATAAACTAAATTCTTAAAACATTACCAAAGTTCTAAGACAATGAATACAGCCTGTTAAAGACTTTCAGTGTATTAAAAATTGTATAAATTACCGGATTTACCAGAATTACCCAGATTTGAAACTGCAGTGAACTAAAAATATAACATCTTCACAATGATTCACAATGAAAAAGACTATAATAAAAAAACTGAAATTGTTCAAAATAAATTAATTAATTTAAAAGAATTGTAATGTTTACACAACAACAACAATTATAAAGCAAAATAAATTGGTGAAACTGGAGGATTTAAGTTGCATTTCAACACAAACATTTAACCCAACTATCGGGCTTGTGCATACTTTATTCAAATTTGTGTTTATCCAAATTTGTGTTGAAATAACCCAGCATTTATAGACAGTTGTATAATGATAACCAACAATAGTAATGAACAGCAATTATCAAAATTATATATATATTAAAAAAAACATAAACAGCTAATCTAAATTCACACCACCTTGAAGAGCGTAAGCATTTATAAGCGACAAAACTACAACAACACAGCATGATACTAATAAACATAACAGTGTTGTCCAGTGGTGAGAATGCTAATATAGTTAAGCCTTTAGGGTGAAACAATACAATTTACCTCAATATCTTTTAAATTCACTGTAAAATTTATTGATATACTGAAATACACACCATTGAACACAGACATCACCTATATGCTATATAACTGCAGGTTAACTATGTTTATATACAACTTTACTGTTAAAAGCTATAAATTACTAGTTATTTGGTTAATGTTTAGCAAATAATAAAGCTATGGAAACTATAACCTTAACTTTTCCTACTTTGATTGTAATACAATAATGTGGACCTTTTGTAAAGCTGCTTTGAAACAAATAATAATGATTGTGAAAAGTGCTATGCAAATAAACATGAATTGAATTGAAAATATACAAATTCTAAGGCTGAAATCTTTATCCCAAGAGCCCAAACCCATCTGAGTTACATCAATTAAAAAGTGAATTTCTGCAACTTCTCTTTAAGCTCAGAAATCCTTGAAGACTTAGCTTCACTGAATCCTGATTTAACTGCAGTATGGAGACCTTTGACCTTCTATATTCCCCTAGTCCTTCTCTTATCTCCTTTTAGAGTTAGGAAACACTAAAGCGAAAGAGCGGCTAAAAACCCTGTGAGAGTCAGTGAGAAAAGACAAGAGAGAGATCAGAGAATGATGGGGGTCCTTGGATTCTGCTGAAGTGATTTGGAGGAGATATGAGCCTGTAGGAGCTCAGTGGAGGATGAGGGAAAAGACTGAAATCAAAAAGAGCTCAAAGAGGCATTCAGACTCCCTGCCAGACTCTGGCCATCATCCTGCACTAGGGGGGAATATATATACATATATAATGTACATATTTATTGTCTGTGACCATTCTAACCATTCTTTGCCTTTCAGATATTTTTCTTGGCTTACACTCTCAGAATTAAAAAGCACAAGAGCTGTCACTGGGGTGGTACCTTTTGAAATGGTACAAATTTGTACCTAGTAATACCTTAAGGGTACATATTACTACCTAAAAAGTACAAAAGTGTTCCAGTGTAAATTTTTAGGTACTAATATATACTTTTGAGGTACCAATATAGACCCTTTAAGTGCAAATGTGTACCTTTTTAAAAGGTACCACCCCAGTGACAGCTCACTTTATTTCCAAAAGTGCACCACGTCTTTCCTTCACAAGAACTGTTCCTATGGCCTTCCATTATCTTACTATATTTCTAACTGCGGAGATAAAGACTTTAAACTTTCGTGGTTGCATTTTGCATCCTTCTCCTAATTCATGTTGGTGAATTATCCTAGGTTTTAGGTCATTAGGAAGTTCTTTTGAGGTTTGGTTCACAAAAAGGAGGATCACAACTAGCAATCTTAGATATCCTTTTTCATGATTGGTTGCACTTGTGTTAGGATTGTTCATGTTCACTGAGTCACTCAAATCAATATTGTGTTGTAATCAACCAGCATTAAGCTACTACAGGTTTTGAAATCCACACAGAAGAGAGGGTGCCCAAACTTTTGCACAGCCTATTTTTCAGTTTCAATTTAATTTCACACGTCAATACTGCTACACTACGTATTTCTGTCTAAACATGATATTATCTAGCTTCCTCTATGAACCAAATGGCATTTCACTGTGATCTTCTCTTATCAAGAAAGATCCCTTAACTATGCAGCCACAGAGGGGTGCCCAAACTTTTGCATAAAACTGCAAGTAAGTAAATAAATAAACAAATAAATAAAAGCGGAAAGGAAGGAAGACTGATTGCAGGCAAGGCGAGGTAAAGGATAGGAGTAAAGGTCTTACTTCATCTCCAGCACCTCCTCCAGGTGCTTTCTGCGCTCGGCCCTCAGCGTGGTCAGGTGCGACTCCTTCTCCGCCAGAGACTGCTGAGTGGACGACAGCTTGGCCTTCATGGACTCCAACTCCTGCTTCACCTTTTCCATGGCGGCCAACAGCTCCTCCATCTGTCCATGCAAACACACACACACAAACATAAACTTGTTTGTGCTGATGAACAATAACACAGCAACAAACAAGCAGAAGGACAAAATCATAATCCCACAGAAGCATGTCAGATAAGACCGAATGTAAACAAATATGTTGAGAGAACACACAGCAGGACAGGAGCGAAGCACACGGGGACACAAATGGATCTGTGCATGGAAAATCGGATGGATAAAATGAGTGTCCAAAAAAAGAGATTAACACTCATAATCCATTTAAAATCTGTATGCTATTTTAGCCGTTTGACATTGCTTTTTTACAAAATAGCTTTAATATTTACAAGTAAAACCGCAATGTGTCTAATCAGCAGGTTCACATTAACCAGTGAAAGCAGTAAAATGAATAATAACAAATTATATTATATTTTATACAGTATAATGTTAGCATATTTTTCCCATGGTATTACCACATTTACCTCATTTTTATCAATTGATATGATGAAAAAAGACATACAACTAATTCATTTAATTTATGATGCATTCTTTTTCAAAAAAAAGTCAACAATTTATTTATTAAAATGTTTAAAATGTTAAAATGATGTAAATAAATTATATATATATATATATATATATATATATATATATATATATATATACACACAGTTCAGCGATTTGAATCGTGAAATGTGATTATCGGCCGATACAAATCTCCGGCCGATCGATCGAAGTATTCCTGGTTAATATATTTTTAAAAAGTATTACTACATGGTACTACATTTAGCTCTTTTTTAATCAATTAATATAATAAAAAAAAATTTAAAAACGGATTAATTTTCACTTAATTTATGATGCATTATTTCTCAAAAAACAGTCAACAATTTATGAAGCCTATGCTGCCAGAGTACAGGTTAAAATGCATTTCATTTAAATAATGTATATAATAAGTAATAAACAATAAGTTAATATATTTTCAAAATGTTTTATTGTAAAAACGATATTACGGTTTACATTAAGTTAACAGGATAACTATAGCTAACTCAAATGATATATGATAATTATTGCAATAATAGCCTAATTCCTTTAATACAATACAAAAATAGACATTTACACTTTTTATTACAATAAATTATTATTGTTATTATTATTATTATTATTATTATTATTATTATTATTATTATTATTATTATTATTATTATTGCTGTTATTATTATTATTATTGTTATTATTATTATTGCTGTTATTATTATTATTATTATTATTAAAATAAGTTATTTTTTTATTGAAATTAATCAAAATTTTCAGTAAAATATTTTTTCTGTTAAATATTTTGGTTAAAAATAGAATTAAATAAAATGTATCATATACAGGCTGTTTTTAAACTAAACTAAAATAAATAAAATATAAATAAAATAACGAAAAAATTTTAATATCTAACTCACTGATTAAAAAAAATATCTTACTGCATTATGAGGGATAAAATCATGTAAAAAACAATGCGAAAAATAATAATCGAGACATTCACACAACAGACGGCAGGTGAGACAGAACAAGAAAAATGTGAGCAGAACTCCAGTGTATAAACGAGCAGGCCAGATATATTAACTACATAACTTCATGATGAGGTTAGTCATACATCACATCCCCAGAGTTATTTCGCTCCGTTTTGTTTTTGAAAAGGTGGATGTTCTCCGTTTCTGACTGTGATTTTTCTTTCCTCCGCTCTCTCCGTTTCCACATCATGTTTATAACTGGAAGTAACAGGAGCGAGTGAATGAGGAGGATAAATCAAGTGGCGTGGCAGGTTTATGTATTCCATGGAAGGCAAGGTTTAGCGACTTGGCTCAAAGCGGTTCTCACAGCCTCCTCGACCGCTTGCGGTTCACCCCGGGTCCCTCTGAAATCTCTGCGAAACTGCGTAGGCCTCGGGCGGCGATCTGTGCAGTCTCCTCCGTCTGTTCTCTGTGTTTATCCATCATTCCCTGCTCTGCGTTTCGTCAGCTTTTGTTCCATCCATATTACAGACACAACTGCGGAGATTCGAATCCAAAAATAGTTCACTGAAGAATCCTTTCAAGCTTGAAGATGCAGCAAAGATGTGAAATGAAATGATTCAAGTGGCTGTTTCTTTTCTAGGTCTTATGAAGTCATACAAAAGCTGTTAACCAATCAGTTTGCCTCTCCAGTGATCTGTTAATTCTTAAAAAGTTAACTTAAAAGTCAGTTAAATCTAAGTTAAAAAGCAGGTTGATTCAGGAAACTAATCAGATCAAATCAAATGATTTTTATTGTCACATCATCAGAAGCTAGTGTAGCCTACTATGATGAGTGACAAGCTTAGGTGCCGCTTCAGACAGTGCAACATACAATAACACAACGATCAGTTGTAAATGAATCAGGATTAACTGGTTCTCTTAAAAGAACTGACTCCAAAAGATTAAATCATTCAAGAAACAGTCAGGAATTTCAGTGAGTTCAATTGAGGAGTGAAGAGTGATATTTCGCTCCAATGCCCTATAAAAATTGAGGTAAACTTGAGTTAGGTAGGAGGTCAGTCTGACTCAAGAACTAATCAGATACATTTTGTGAACAGAACTGTCTGATTCAATTAAAAAAATTGACTCAAACGATTGATTCACTGACAGGGAATTCAGTGCGTTCAATTCAAGAACCAAATCATTCTGATTGAAGAATGAATCATTCAATAAAATAAACAGGATTCATCAGTCCAATGAAAAGAACTGCCTGAAGGCTAATTCAATCATAAACCAGTGAAGACTGAATTTACTCAATCAGTCTGGTTCATGAATGAATCTTTCAGCTTTTTGAATGGCATCAACTGATTCACTGATCAGATCAAGCTCAAAAGAGTGAAGTGAAGTGAACTTAGGAATCAAGTCAGCATGACTCATAAATGAATCTTTCAGATCCAATCTGTAAAAAGGATTAACTCAATCACTGATAAAAGACAAGTCAAAAGACTGATTGATTGATAAATACTGCAAAGTCAGTAAACTAAATCAACCAATTTACTGATAAGATTGATTAACAAAAACTAAATCATTTTTTTTTTTCTAAATCAATCGATGCTTTCAGTCCATCTGTTTCATTAACGAATCAAATCTTTCAGATTAGCTTGGTGAACAGGATTAACTAATTGAATGAAGAGATCTGACTCCAAAAAAGTGATTCATTCACAAATCAGGCAATAAAGTCTGTGAACTGCATTAATCTTTCAGGAATATGTTCAACCGATTCATTCAATAACGAACTGAAGAGTGATATTTCGCTCTAATGGCCCATCGACTCGTTTTGCTGAAAAATTATGCTAAACTTGAGTCAAAAAGGAGGTCAGTCTGATTCAAGAACTAATCAGACACATTTTGTGAACAGAATTGTCTGATTCAATTAAAAGAACTGACTTAAATGATTGATTCACTCATAAAACTGACAGGGAATTCAGTGGGTTCAATTTAAGAAACAAATAATTTTGATTGAGGATGAATCATTCAGATCACTATCAATAACAGGATTCATCAATTCAATGAAAAGAACTGCCAAAAGACTGATTTAATCATAAACCGGCAATGAAGACTGAATTTACTCAATCAGTCTGGTTCATGAATGAATCTTTCAGCTTTGTGAATGGCATCAACCGATTCACTGATCAGATCAGGCTCAAAAGAGTGATTCATTCACAGTGAAGTGAACTTGGGAATCAAGTCGATATGACTCACAAATGAATCTTTTAGATACCATCTGTAAAAGGATCAACTCAATCTCAATCACTGATAAAAGTCACGTCAAAAGACTGATTCATTCATAAATACTGCAAAGTCAGTAAACTCAATCAACCAATTCACTGATAAGATTAATAAACACTAAATCAAATTTTTTTTTTTTTGCTAAATCAATCAATGCTTCCAGTTCAACTGTTTTATTAACGAATCAAATCTTTCAGATTAGCTTGGTGATCAGGATTAACTAATTGAATGAAAAGATCTGACTCCAAAAAAAGTGATTCATTCACAAATCAGGCAATAAAGTCTGTGAACTGCATTAATCTTTCAGGCCCGCTTCAGGAATATGTTCAACCGATTCATTAATGTGACCCGAGTCAAAAGAGTGATTCATTCCCAAATTTGGCAAGGTAAACTGAAATGACTCGCTCGGATTCATGAATAAAACGTTCTGTGAACAGAATCAACTGACTGAAAAGTTTCATTCATAACCGGACATTACTTTTATATTATATCCTGAACACACCAAAGAGTGATAAAACAGATGTGGTGATTTTCTGTGAATAATTACTTCGCTTCTTCCCTTAGACACGGAATATAACACACAAGTCCATTTTAAAGATCCTCTTACACTAATTGCACATCCTCTTAAACAGCCTTAGCGCTCATTCTCTCACTAAACATTAACAGTTCACCCTTTCCAGAGCAGAAAGTAAGGCTAAATGATGACAGTCTTCAGTTTTGGGTAAACTACTCCTTTAATAAATCCATTTCGCAGATGGAGTTTCACAGCACTGCCACCCAACGCCGTCCAAACTTATAATTACAAGCTTTCCAGTGTTTAGTACTGAGCACTGGAGAGGTTTTCCAGGAGAGTAGCTGGGAGCAATAAGCGGAAACTGGTGAAAGGATAATCCCTTTGGGAAAAACCACAACAGAAGTGCGCATGAGAGCAGTGCTGCCCTCTGGTGGATGGAGGAACTGCAGAGTCTATGTATAAATTTTAAAAAGCTCAATCCAGCTGTCATCATAAGTCATCCGCTTAATGCACTACACCCGAGCCAAGCCCAGCGAACAAGCTACCAAAACCCACTCAGCCAAATTTACTGCTGTCTGCTTTCCTGTCCTGCAATCCCATGCTCTCTTTCGTCTTACCATCCCAAGAAAACTGCAGAGAACTGGTAGTGAATGCATTGAGACTAAAACCCGAGGATGATGGTGCGTTCCCCTGGGCGCGCAAAATCCGCCGGTAAATTCCACCTGACAGGGTCAGGTAAGTGAGGG